GGTGTTGGAATTACCACTGTAGGCCACCATCTGACTTCTTCCACCCTTGGCTTTTAGGTACTTATTTATTCAATTATCTTTGACACAGGGCTTCACTATGTATCCCTGGCTGGTCTGGAACTTACTATGTAGACCAGAATGGCTGCAAACTCACAGAGATCTATTTTCCTGTCTCTGACCTCCAAGTACTGGAATTAAAGGTGAGTACCACCATGTCTGGCAATATGAAGCTTTATTTTTCTTTTTTTCTTTTTGGTTTTTCTAGACAAGGTTCTCTGTAGCTTTGGAGCCTGTCCTGGAACATCAGGCTGGCCTTGAATTCACAGAGATCCTCCTGCCTCTGCCTCCCAGTGCTGGGATTAAAGAATAAAACTCATGTTCTTATATTTGAAAGATAACTGAGCTATCTTCCCAGTCATATGTATGTATGTGTTTGCCCCCCTTTAAGTCTGGTTGCTGAAGAATTTAGGGTATCCACGTTTGAGTGCAAATGAGTATCCATGCTTCTGCTTTCTGACCCTTACCCAAAGTAACTGAACTTACTAAGGAAATGGCTGGTTTCAGACATGTGGGAGGAAAAGAATGCAATAAGGTTATATAACATCTTATGCCCTGAAGCAAAATACATGAAGGGATATTTAGATTAATTTAAGCATTAAATAAAGACTGAAGGCAACAGGCTATAGCCAGTTGGACAGAATGGGATCAGTGACTTCACAGCACACACGATTGGATAGGTAGGTCAAAATAAGAGGATGGGAGAGTGTGGGCCTGTTTTTTTTTTTTCCTCAGGAAAGAAAATCCATAAATAAATGAAGCAAAGGTGAGATGAGGCAATCCCTATTTGGCAGTGACTACAAAAAAATAAATAAATAACTTAGGCAATGGGTATTAGCCAAAACTACAGGGTAAGGTTGAGAAAAGGAATAGGATTTTAGAGTCTTGAAACATCTCCCATAAATTATGTTCTGGCTGCAAAGGGGGAAAAGTACAGAGAAGATGGGTAGCATTTGTATCAGGCGTAAGAATGAAAGGAACACACTAGAAACAGCAACTACACTACAGTTGTGTATGTTTGTGACCCCTGGCGGGATGCAAAGAGAATATAGTTTCTGTGTTATTCTGGCTCCAAACATATGCATGGCAGGGGCCAATCAAATCAAGGGACACTTCACCAAAGGAGCAGCTCATAACTGTCAAACAACCAATGCTAGAAAAATTATAGGTTAAGAAATATCCACATGGAAGAAGACCAGCTATGACTAGACTGCCCAAGATTGGAAACGAGAATAAAGTGAGAAAGCCCTGCTCTGGTGTCTTACAAACACTGGTGTCAGCTGTTACATCTCTTCTTAAAGATACTGATGATCTCATTTGAATTGCACCCTGAGAAGCACCAATGACTTGCACCTAGCTTGTCACATACCTGTGACTGTGTTGTTAGCATCTAGTGGTACTTAAGTATGAGGAGCTTGCCTGTCTAAATCTGGCCATTCCTTTTGGGGCTGCATTTCATCTAGAAATGAAAATACACTCTGGATCTCACTGAATACCTGGATGTAGAAACTCACTGTTTTGATTACTAGCAGGAGATAAGTTGACATGGCTGTCCCTTGCCTGTGGCCAGATTTGTTGCTTATTTGTCAGATATCTAGTAGGCATCATTCTATGCCAGGCATGGGAATACTAAAGATGCAATACCATGTCCTAGGCCTGCTTCATCCAGTAAAGTAGACCAGAAACGGACAGGACAGAAGGTAGTAGGAGGTGAATAGCTATCAGGGCTTTATGGGGTCATTTAAGAGAAGAGCTACTTTGGGTGGGAAAAAAAAGAATGGGAAGAGGCCAGGACATTCATCCTGGAGGACACAATGCCACCCACAGCAAGCAGGGTTCAGGGCACTCAAGTGGGCAAAATATAGGCTTGGGATCCCCTAGAGTGGATGGACTGAGGTATCTGTTATGTTTCCATCTAAAATGTCCTCCAAAGGTTGTGGCCTGTAGCCTTGGTGACCAGAGTCCCATTAGAGGTAGTGTAGTCTTTGGGAGGGAAATCTAGTTGAAATAAGTCAACTCAAATAAGTACCTCAAAGGGGACCGAATGCCTAGCTGTAAGGCAAGCAGCTCCTCTCTACAATGTGCTCCAACCACGGCCTTTTGCCTTGACACAGGCCCAAAGCAATGGAGCAGCTCACCACAGACTGCAATCTCTGACACCACGGAACAAGTCAGCCTCAGGGCTTTGTCGTGACATGGAGCAAACATAGCCCCACTGTGGAAGACATGGCAGGCAACCAGTTACACCATCTCCAAACCAAAGCTATAGCTGGGACTTAGGGGGCTAGTCTGTAAAGCACTATGCATCACAGGGATGTATTATTCTCTAATGCCCTGCATGAGTAGTACCTGCCTCCTGGCCCTCCTGGCCCCTATAGCCCATGTCCATAAGAAACCAGGATAAAATGGGGTCCCTTTCTGTGAAACCATTAGACACTGGGCATGGGTTTTGAGAGTACGGCACTAAAGAGATTTTGTGTGTGATGAGGTCTGTGGAGGATGCAGGAAAGCAACAAATCTAAACCCAGAAAGCTGATGGCTGGCAAGAGGAATGGTTCTGTGTTGAATAGCTGGGTAAGCGGCGGGAGGAAAGAGGTTAACAAATGGCATCCTTGGTCCCTGGTGTGGTATGCTGAAAAAAATCTAGGCACATGCACCCAACACAGACTAGCTTTGGATGCTGGCAAGGGAAGCAAAGCCACTGTAGGAGATGCAAGCAGTTCCATCCATCAGTGGAGGAGTTTGCCTGTTCTCTCTGTGCCCTTTCTGTTACTTTGGTGACATACCCACAGCCAGGTATTTGCCAAAATAAAGTAGGACTACATCCCTGTGATGAAGAAGCCTCATTACAGTAATAAGTGTGAAGGATGCTTAAAAGAAATCCCACACTAACTGAGAATTGAGAAATAGATGGTTATTTATCTAGGGGTAGACTCACAAATCAGAATCCTCTGCTTGAACAGAATCAGAAACCAAAATCTGCAACTGGAACAGAGAGGCTGGAAAAAGAGGCTGGACCCCTGCTCTACATCAGCATATGTAGTATAAGAGGTCAAGCCCCAGTGGGCAGGTAACCACTGACTGTAAGACTTCCTACAGCAAAAGTGTTATAATCAGGAAATGTGACTAGCTTATCAACTGCTCTGCTCAAACATGATGGGTGCTCAGGTGCTGTCATGTCTTTACACTCTCCTTGCTAACACAAGATCACCCTTGTGAAAGTAAAGAAAACCATGGTTTCAGACTGAATCTGAGCAGGAATAACACGAAGCAGACAGGCACAGATGCCCATGCATCTAGTCTTAATGTTTACATACTGTGGTACCCCACACAACTGAGAGCTCTAGCAACTTAACATCACAGGCAACTTGGAATAGGGGTGGGGGTGGGTAAGGAAACCAAGTATTCCCAAACTCTCCAGTGAGGCTCCCATCATCCTGACAGAAGAATGTCCCTTCACTCTCACCACCACCACAGGTGATTTTCAAAGTACAAAGGATACCAGCGTCACAACTCAGAGCAGAGCACAGTACAGAATTTACTGACCCATCCGTTGCTGATACCATTGAAGGAAAGATTACAGAATTGGATAGTATAAGCAATGGAGTATCGTTACATCCCTATCTTACTGTGCATTTTCAGTTCCCAAAATATTATTCAAAAAAAGTCAAAAAACAAAAACAAAAAACCCAAGCAGTCTATTCTGTAAAGGCATATAACAACAAAATTTGCACACAATTATAAAACCTGCTTACTTTCAGTTAAATAGAATTTCATGAAAAACTGCTTTCAGGGCAATTTGGATTAAAGCCAGTTATAAATGGCTACCTTCTGAGACTCAATATTAAAGAATGTGGAGACTCAGGCAGCATACACAAATGATCCGAGAATGTGGAATCCAATTATTTTAAAGATTTATAGGAAAATACTAGTCTGTTTCTAAAAGGAATCTTTAAAACACCAAACACTAACTTTCCTTTCTTTTCTAGAATCTGAACCCCAGTTTAGCTCCCTGCCCCGGAGAAAAGTCCCCAGTGGTCTTCTTCCCAACTGGAGTCCTCACAGAGGGCTCTGAAGAGCATGCTAAAAACAAACAAACAAACAAACAAACAGTCATGAAAATATCCAATGTCTTAAAGTGCTAAAGCTACAGCAAGGGAAACCTACTTGAATACTTTGACTAGTTTTTTTGAGACAGTCTCTCTATGCTACTCCTGGGCTCAGCTTCCCAAACAGAATACAGTGATGATAGGTATGTACCACACCCGAATTGAAATCTATTTTTAAAGAACACTTTAAGTCATTAATGCATTTCACACCTACCCCCAAACCACCAATCAGATACTAGAAATTAACAAACTGACTTTGAATTTCTAAGCAAAGGTTAATATATAAGATTTATAAAGAAATCTGAAGGAATGAAAGCTACTCATTTTGTGCTACGGAAATGCACCGACTTCACACACACACACACACACACACACACACACACACACACACACATCCATGAGAGTTCAACTGGAAACACAGTCCAGCTTCAGGCCTGCCTTCTGGCCACCAGACCTGGGAAGGCAGTGTTTAGGACTCTGTCAATAGGAGAGAGCCCATCTCACCATCTCAGTCACCACTACCATTAGCGCCAACACGGGCTACATGTAGGTTCAGGTGGTAAATGACTGAGTACCAGGTAATCTTTTCAGACAAAAGAACACATTCTGAAACAGAAAAGCAGAACACACACACAGTCCTGGTCAGCTATACATCTGGCAGAACCACAGATGTAGGAACTAGTTTTAAAGGCAGAATTTGCTCAGCAGCCTGGAAATACTAACCCTGAGATGTAAGGATCTGTTAGCTTAATTTCTTACTCTTGAATGGGAAAAACATGTTTTCAATGTACTCAATACTCCCCACATAAAGAAAAACAATTCAAAAACGAGTTCTCAGGTTAACAAAGAATATATTAAAACAGTTTACATTCTTTCCACAACTGCATAAAAAGCAGGCATCTTAAATAATTACAAGAAACAATGTGCTTTCCATACTTGCAAAAATTAATTACAATCAGAAAAACATTTACAAGAATATCTTTACTATCTAAAGATTTACAATGGTGAAAGACCTATTTATTGAACACCAAATATCAGCCTGCTGGCTGAGATAAACATCCTCTAAAAAACTGTTTACTGAATACAGTGATTAATGTCTTTCATTATTTTGTTTCTTAGCATTTAAAATAGTTACATGAGTGGAAGGATAGTTTTTGACACCAAAATAAACTCTTTCAGTCTGACGTCCTTTAAGATACAGTATAAAAAGCAATAGAAAAACCACAACTGCATTATAAATGTTTTTGGTTCAAAATTTTATTTGAAATCTTATGTTTTATTCTAAACAAAAAAGGTGACAAACACTGGTAATTTGTAAAACCTAACAGATATGCAGACCCTACATTTAGATCAAAAATACTTTTTCTTTTTTTTTTTTTTACAACAATGTTAGTTTATAAATTTTCAAAAATGTAGCATAGGTTCAAGTCCTGGGGCACTGTACTAGCAATGCCAGGTTTGGAGATTATCGCTCTGTAGCTACACAGGAGATGACCATGCAGGGAGATGGTCTTAAAAAAAGTTACACTCCAAGGTGCTTAGAGGGAGAGACCAGACACCACACGGAATGAGTTCAATGGACAGCTACCTAGCCTGGCACTAGCTTCATTCATTAAAGGTGGACACTTTTAGTTCATCTTTAAAATGCATAGTTCAAAAAAGCAGATGGCAAGAATCAGTAACTGCAACCTAATTTTATTTCCCTTTTCTGAAAATATAAGGAACAAAAGAGGAAATGCAGACATATTTATGGATTTTCAATAGCCTTTTCAAGTGAAAGGATAAAGGTCAAAATTCCACATATAGCTTCTAGAATATATAAAGTCAATGACTATTTTATAAAACTGTTTGCTATCATGGGTGTAGGATGCTGGTGAGAAGATGGGTGGTGTCTCTGCTAGAGCACACCCTGAAAATGTGAAGAAACAGCATACAGCAAAAGTGAATAGGGAATTTGTCCTCCCCTAATTTTCTTTCCAGGTGTGTTCCTCCCTCGAGAGAGTGAAATCAAAAGTTTGCCTTTTGGAATACTCCACTGAACTTTGGATATTGCCTATGGAGAAGGTTTTAATTACAACCTACATGGAACAGAAAAAAAGAGGCTAAACCCTAAGTACCAAACCAAGTTGCAAAAACTAATTTTGGACCTTTGCTAGTGTTTCAATACACATGTGCACACGTCAGAGAGGGACTTCTCACTGCTATCCACGTCCATACTCTCACAGAAGTCCTCACATCAGACAGGCAGAAATGTGATGTTGTGCATACAGTTCTTGGAGAGCACATGGAAGCTACAACGCAGCACTTCCTCTAATCTCTGAAGGCCCTGGAAGGAATGGTAGTCTAGGATGTGGTGAGGCTGGCTGTGCTAACCTCATGCTACCACTGCTTCTCCCAGAGACACCCGAGTTTTGAGCTGGCAGAGACCAAACACTGTCAGTTCCAGAGCGCCAGCTGTGAACCGCTGTGGTGCAGATGGCATACCAGAGTTCAGTGGTTTTCACACTAACCTGTTGCTGCTGACTGCGGCAACACTCCACACACAGGCTTCCATTTCTTTGCCTTCCTTAGCATGTGACCATCACTGATTATACAAAGTGACTGACAGCTTATTTTATTAAAAAAAAAAAAACTAAGTGTGACTATTGCTGATTTAAATTCTCACAATTTTCATAAAAAAAGTTTCATAGGACCACAAAATACCAAATTTTTGTCTTATCAAGTGTCAGGATAATTTATTAAAGTTGGGGTTTGTTTTTTCTTATTGCTAAGGTATTCTAAAATCTGACTCAATACTGCAAACAACTCCCTTTCTTCCTTGTATGCTTTTGGCCTTACAAACATGGCTAAGGGTTACTTCAGACTTAGGTGTCCAAAATAATAAATTAAAAAAACCCAAAACCAAAAACCCAACAATACCCTAAGTATCCCGCTACCCAGAAAACAAAACCCAAAAACCTCAGTCAAGTGATTATAGCGACGCCTTGGAATGAGGAACCATGCAGTTCAGCAACATGAACTCAACCACAACAGTAACAGAATCAAAGCCCTGCTGGCTGAGGTCCCGAAGCACAATATTTCAGAGTTTGTTTCTGAAGTTGTTAGAACATTCCTAGCCAACATTAATTTATCCCAAATCTAAATTCAAACATAACAGTTTCCAACCTTTATTATTTTTTTTAAAAAAATGTTGTCTTAGGACACAGTTCACAAGCCAGGGGCTGCTGTTCTGTGACAGGTGAGAGGGGTAGGTTATTTAATTGTGTGTCTGTTCATGACTCCAAAGACTGAAAGCGGTCTTGAATGTCCTATGGCAGAGCTTGCACATGAATTGTCTTTTAAATGTGATTGCTGAAAGGGGAGGGGCGTGGTAGAAGAGGGTGTCTGACTCCTGGGGTGCAAACAGTTTCTCTGTGGCAGGGGTTGGAGTCTCAGGAAGGCCTGTGGGGCTGTCGGGCTCCAGGGGCTGGATCTTAGGCAAGGGTGGTGGAGGTGGCAGAGGTGGTGGTGAGGGGGAATTTGTGGGCACAGGGCACACCTCAGCCTCTTTCTGTGCAGGCTCCTCTGTGGCCTGAGACATGTGGGACTGGAAGTGACTCCAGAGCCGGAAGTTGGTACGGAAGGCTTTGTGGCACACATGGCAGATGAAGGGCTTCACGGAACACAGCAGCTCCTGGTGTCGTTCCAGCTGCTTGTGTGCCGTGAACATCTTCCCACATTTCTCGCAGGGCCACAGACCAGCCTCCTTGCTGGGACCAGCCTCCCTGGGAGCTGCACTGGCCTCAGGAGTCTCCTCCTCAGCCTCCTCCACAGGCTCCTCTTTGACTTGGACTTTCAGTTGCTTTGAAAGACTCAAGTCTTCAGGGAGGCAGGAGGAATCCTCGGAATCGAAGTTCACTTGCTCTGAAGAGTCACTAAACACTGTGTCCTCTTTTGGAGCAGTCACATGGTTTACCTTGCTAGGCTCAGACTGAGGCCTGGAAGCAGCTGCCACTTCACCATTGTGGTCCAGGGTAGGCAGGGAAATGTTCTCTGCTAAAGCCATGTTGTTCTGGTTGTGCACTTCCACCTGGTGCCGCCAGATGCTGAAGGAAGACTTGAAGGTGCGCATGCACTCCAGGCAGGTCAGCTTTTTGTACTCACACCTGTCTTCATGCTCCTGCTTCAGCGCTGGGGAGAAGAACCTGAGGCTGCAGTAAGGGCAAACGGTGGCATTCCGGCACAAGCGCTCGTGGTTGCCTTGCTCTAGAAGAGAAGAGAGCTTAGCATTACAGAGGCGGCACGAGTAAACCTCCTTGCTCTCTACCGCGCGTGCCAGAGCCTGCTCTTTCGGCTTAGCAGCTCTGCTCACTCCGAGGGGCCTCTCTCCCGGGTGCATCTTTATGTGCTGCTTATACTGAGAGAGAAAGCGGTATGCCTTGCCACAGTAGGCACAAATGTAGGCCCCTTTGGCTCGGGAGCGCAAGTTCCTCTTGATGACTTGCTGTGCTGGGGAGCTACTCTGTCCCTGGAAGCCAGGCTTGCTGCGCCTCAGCTTAATGATCAGGGCCTTCTTAATCTCCCTCTCTCTCACTATGTCAATCAGTTTTCTTTGGAATTTCTCATCCAAAACTGCATGGGAACTAGAGGCTGGCGATGGGTTCTTCACTATGCCGTGTTGGGTCTGACAGTGTGTCCACACTTTGAAGTTGGTATGAAACCTCTTGTGACAGATGTCACAAGCGTAAGGCTTCTCTGGGTTATGGTACATGTTAACATGGCGGTGAAGACCCGCGGTTGATCTAAAAATCTTAAGGCAATGTTTGCATTTAAATTTTTTGTTTGGTCTCGTCCCCTCCAACTCACCAAACTCCTCTCTGTTTAATTCAGAATCTGGGAAGTTGCTGTCAAGGGAAGGAGGGCTCCTGCCCTCCTCACAGTTCTCTTCTGAGACAGAAGGCCCATGCTCATTTGCCCTTGCTTTCTTCAAGGGTGACCTTCTGTCTGTCTGGAACCTTCTTTTTGCTGGGAGTCTGCTAATGTCCCTCTGGTCTTCCTCCGTTTTGAGGGGCAGGTCTCTCGTAGTTGTTGCTGCATCTCCCACGGTGACCCGGATGATGTCTGAGGGGTCCGACAGAGGGCTGCTAGGCTCAGTCTTAATGCGCACCTCAGTCACAGGGGAGGTCCCCTCCCTGTCTGTTGACTGAGACGCACTGAAGGACCTGAGGCGATGAGGCTGGAGCACTTGAGGCCTGTCATCCAGGGTTTTTTTGTCACTGCCATCTTTTAAAGAGGACTTTTGAGACACTGTACAAAACACACTGCCTGACGCCTCATTTGCTGTTGTGGATGATCCCTGGGATGACTTCAAATCTATGGAGGGGGAGTAGACAGGAACCTGACTGTCCATAGACAGTGACCGCCTGAGGAGGCTTTTCACTAGCGGGCCACTTCTGTCAATGTTCTGGTTTGCAGAGGCAGGCCCACTGGATGGAACCACCAGGCCTAGCTTAGAGTAGTAGAGCAAGTTCCTATCCTCCCCCTGACTGCCTCCTTTGCTAGTCTCTTTTAAGAGATATGGAGTCTCTGATGAGCTACGAAGAGACAGAACAGGTGGCCGTGGTCTCTTCAGAGCCAGCTCTATAGCTTTCCCCTTGGGAAGCTGGCTGCTCACTCCTGGTTTATCGTCCATGGCCTCCCTATCTTGTGAAGGCTTTGAGGGTAGGACTGCATTTCTCTTAACCAAACTACCCCTGTTAGGATCATCCAAAGCCCCAGGTTGTTCCACAGACTTTGCATATACTGCAGCACTATCCTTCGGCCAACTCTTTTCAGTTAAGGACAGGCTGTGAAGCTGCTCTGGCGGCTTGGCCACATGTGGCTTATTGGTGTTGGTCTTGACTGCACCACTCGGGGAGGCCCGGGCAGCATGGCTGAGGTCCTGCACAGCTGGACCACTGGCCTTCCCTGGCACTTCGCTTCTGCCCTGACACACGATGACACTTCGCTTTTGAGAGCTGCTCTCATCATCTTCCACTGGAACTCTTTTCCTGTTGGGACAGGCTGGGAAAGGAGCCTGAGGGGCTTTGGCAACGATGTTGGTCAGGAAGGAGATACCAAGGCTATACCCCAGTTCCTGCACAGCAGCAAGGCTGCCCTTCTCCACAAAAAGGGAGGAAGAGTAAATGTAGTTCAGAACGTTGTCAAAAGCATCAGGCTCACAGAAGTCCAGCTGAAAGACAGTCTGTGCCTCGTTCTCCTTATTCGTGAATAAACTCTGGAAGTACTCACTGCTGGCAGCCAAGACGTTCTTATGAGCTCGGAACTTCTGGTCCCCAACAATCAGGAGTACATCACATAGCTGTCCCTTAAGGCGCTCCTCATTGAGGGCGCTGAGCAGAGAGATGGCATGCGCTGGGTTGATGTAATGTAGCAGTCCCTCCATCCTGCAATTGATCTGGAAGACAGAAGGTGAGACCATCAGCATTTGTAGTCCATGAAAGGCCTGCTCGAACTTAATAGGTATACACATAGGTGACACTTGAAAATGAGGCTTAACATTTAGGGTCCTTACCCATCTGATGCTTGGTTACATTTAGTTTATTCAGAAAATAAACTAAATTTGAATTGTCAAAATTCCTCAAGTCTATAATTCTACCTCAGTTTTTATTATTATCTTATTTTTTGTTTGATAAGATATATACTTAAATGCAACATGACTGCCAAAAATTAATAATAGATTGTGGACTTTTTAAAATGAACTTGGAAAGGGAATTACTTGCTAATTACTATGTAAGACTGTTCAATAAAGGTTAGAAACATTAGAAAATTAAAAGGTTGTTTTCCTTCTTACACTAATTGCTTGCGATTTTTTAAATGCTATTTTCTCACTAGTCATTTTCAACAGCATAGAGAACTTTAGCCTGACTGTAAAGTTGATTAGGGAGTTTGAACTGAATGGTCACTGATATTCTTCTCAAACCTAAAGGTAAGAGAAGGCAACTTGGTGAGTGTGAGTTTTGGGGCTAGACACTTGGCTGAGGTGCTAGCTCTACCCTGTGAGTTTATGTCCTCTGTACACAGGGCTGTGGGTAAAGTAAGATAACAACTGCACCTTTTTGCAAGTGTGTGGCAAAGATTAGATGTGCAAGCTTCTACAGCAAACAATAAATGTGCAGCTAACTGTCAGGACTGCAAGAATAGGCCTAACTTAGTATCAAAGGAGACGGTCTAGATTTCCACTCCCTTCCTGGTACTCTAGCATAAAGCAGGTTGTTCACGGGACATGATGTGTGGACTCTGCTCTATGAGCACCTCCTCTCATGGTCTGGTTTTCTATCACTGACTCCTACTAACAGAACTGTCACAGAACTGGGAGGATGATGTAGCTTAGTGGTAGAGTAAGGCCCTGAATCCAAACACCAGCACCACGGGGGTGGGATGGGGGATGGAGGTGATGGGAACAGGACAGAGAGAGAGAGAGACAGAGATAGACACTGACTTTTACTATTAGAATGTATCCACAGTGGCTAGATACATCTTTGACAGGCTTATTCTAGAAGGAATGCTACCAAGGACTACACCCAGCCCCAGATGTAAGCCAACAAGTCCCCAGCCCCCAGCTCTCCAGGGGCAGCCTTTACTGGTCACTGGGAGACTAGGCTCTTTGGTTTTCAGAAAGAATAGAATACAAGATGCAAACAGGGGTGTGGCTCTGCCACTAGAGTTGAATCTAGCATCCACCAGATTTCTCTCCATTCCTGCCTGCTTTTCTTTAACAGTGACATGTCGCTTGGATTAGATCCTTTTCTTCCATTTCCATTTCTCCCCCACTCCTAGTTCACTCTAAGAACCACACATCTGAATAAAGACATGTCTCATTTTTTACAGGGTTAGCAGAAAAGCACTGAGCTTAGATTGCCACAGGACTGACTCAGCCAGCACTGGCACTCTGCAGCACTGAAAACTTCTGGAGATGTTGACACAAGGGAAACAGCAGACCAGAAGCAAAGGATAGGAAGGTATTTCTCAAGTGACTGAAACCAGCAATTAAGAACAGATAAAGCACCAAGAGAGAAAATGTTAGAAAATACTAAACGCGGCAAGGGTTTGGGAAAGCAGTTTCAGACAGACAGACATATGCTCTGTGTGCAAGTATGCATCCAGATGAGTGAGGTCAGTGTCACCTGTGTTCTGGGCTAGTCAGTTAATCTAAGTCCCAATCTTTCCCTTGCACAGCAAACAGGGACAATATCAGCTTCCACACAATGCTGCTGAGGGGCATCATTTAGTACCTACAAATGGTGCCTACCTATCTAAAAATCCATCCACCCATCCAATCACTCATGGAAGTACATTTGAGAAGACTCAAGAGAGCAGGGCATAAACCTGGAGATTATGAAGTAAAGTCAACGCAACAGAGGAAAGAACTAAGGTCATGTAGAACTAGAGCCAAAAGAGCTGGGAGTCATGGACAATATCATCTCAGGAGTCAGGCTGTAAGGCTGCGTAGCTGGGAAGGGATTGTACTATGTAGGAGATGGGGGCGGGGCACTGGGAAGACCACAGGGAATAAGCCTGAGTTATGTCTTAATTATAACATTTCTGGCTTTATTGTGGACAGCAGATGACAAACCAAAGGACAAGAGAGAAGGCTACTGCCACGATGGCTTGGCAGGGCCTGGTACTAGATGTTTCCTAATGGAGTAACTACAGAGCAATAGGAAGAGTCAAGGACCTTGCCAGGACAGGGAAAAAGATGGCCTTTGTTGAAATGGATTTGGCAGAGAAATCAGGCTGCTTCCCTCCTTGCCTCTCTTTTTCTAGGGGTTTCAGTTCTGACACTCTACAGGCGAGTGACAATTTTTCATTCTTGCCTTTGCATCTTTCTATTTCCTTTTCTGAGTTCCCTGGAATCTCTGCCCACACAAACATCTATATCTATACTGTTGTTTCAGGCTCTACTTTTGAGAGGAAAACCAAGACACCAAGACAGCCTAAAACCACAGGTGCAAATTAGCCAGATGTGCTAAAACTCTAACCATATAGGATGTCAAAAAAAAAAAAAAAAAACCAGGCACAGCCTAGTTCCTGGAGTTTAGTCTTGCATATGAATAGCACACAACAATCTGTTGACACTGTACAGTTATGCAGGTACAGAAAAATGTCTATGGATACCATAGGAGATGCAGTATAGGTGACAGCCACCAGACCCAGGTGAGAGGCAGTCAGAGGATGGACCAAAGCAAGGGGAAGAGACAGGCAGGAAAGATAAGGTGACCCAAAAAGGGACAGGGGCAGTATGTGCAGCACTACAAACAAGAGAACTAAAGTCATCCTGGAGGAGTCATGACACTGATCTAGATAAAAGGCTTTGGGAACCAAAATGAAGACACTGGAAACCGTAAGCAGAAGAGCGACACCTGTCCCTACAGTCCTGGAGAGACTGAAGAGAAGGCTAGTGGTATGATTCACCTTCACTTAGGGGCTGCTTTTACACTTTAATTCTATTATAAGTACTTGAAAACATGGTCCCAGTCCTGGTCTACCTGAAAACTAGGACTATTTGAATTCTTACATTTGATTACAGCAGGTATAACTGCTTATTGAGTTCAGTAACTAAAGTATAAACACTGTCTTGAGAGAGTAAGCAAAGGGGAAAAGCAGAGCTTCTGAGTGTTGTCTGGCAACCCGGTACACTATGATGGGGAAGTGCGGATGAGCCCTCTGGACCTGACCTGACCTGTTGATAGCTCAGCTGCTCGGCATCACAACAGCAGTTATGCCGCTGGGTGTACTTTCTCAATGAATATTAAGGTATGGCAGACTCATTTTCCTGCATGAGTTAGCTACAACTCACAGCAGCAACAAATCTCATGTACAAACCACATAGCTATTAGTGTGCTCATTTCCACCTGACTCATTAATGCAGAAATCCCATCATTTAACCATGGCAGAATATCCTGGAAGGGACTGGGCTGTGGAAGAAAAGGCCCACTGAAGAGCAGAAGCAGCTGAGACAAACTCCCCTAGAAAGCCAGATTCTGAAACAGGCTGACTTCTCATCACTTGGATCTCCCGACAAATACCTTTCCAAACTCTGCCTGAGATAGTTCTACTTATTGTTTCCTGGAGCGTCAAGGGGGGAGTGGCGAGGAGAGAATGGAGAGAATTATTATAGTAAAAGCTCATGGTAGATTGCTATCCACAGAGAAGTCTTTGGTCTACTGCCATCTTTTAGGAACGCAATCTTATCAGGACTGCTCATCCTTTCTGAGCAGTAGTATCCTTGCCTGTTCAGTGCTAACCCTACCTATACAATGTGGAAATCTCACGAGACATAAACAAAGCAACTTGCGAAAGGTCCAGTCTGCAGAGCAAATCCCACCTGGCAAGTACACATCTTCCTTCTCTCTTCCTCTCCCGAGTGTTTGTGAGCCCGCTGCACACTGTGCATCACAGAGGTGCTGGTGGTGGGAGGTGAGCTTGCAGGCTGGTTTCCTGTTCTCCTGCACCTCACATTCCTGTGACTGGGCAGACAACAATGTGATAAAGAAGGCAAGAATATGGAAGAACACTCATGTTAGGAGGCTGTCAAAGTGGCCAGGAGGTGGGAGGGTGGATGATTAAGTGACATCAGGAAAGGCTGGGGACTCACTTGGTATTGAAGTTAAAGCCAAAGGCTCAGAACGTCCATGAATGTTATCTGATTAGCCCAGGCTTAAAATCTTTTGAAGTTTGCCCTGACCTTAAGTCAACTCCCCAGAAGGACCCTAAGGCCCTTCACAGCTAGACTCAATGAAATTACTTCATGCCATCACACAAACCTCTGATATACTAGATGCTGAGGTGAGACATCTGTATCTTAATATAAATTAATTCAACCCACATATTTCCATTCTTATGTTACAAGGAATAAGGACTTAGGGGTTTAAGGAAGGTAGGTACTTTTGGAACAGAGTATCTGGGGATAAATGTACAAGAGAGAAGCACATAGTCAGAAATGCAATAGGACACTACAAAGGGAGGGGGAGGAGAATAAGGAAAGGATTCAAAACAATTTCCCCTATTTCAATTTAAGAGACTGGTTCAATAGCTAAAGATTATTACAAATGAGCTAGGCTCTAGGCTAGTCCAAAAACTCTTAACAGCTCTGTGGGAAATGTCCCTTTACTAACCTAAGCTAAGTTCTGGGAACACTGTCCCTTTGCAATGTTGGAGAGTGCTGACAAAAACCTAACACGGTCCTGAACTCTAGGGATCTGGTGGCACAGGTGAACATCCAACACTTGACTACACACACAGCTGACCCCCAAGTCCTCACTTCTCTCTCCACTTGATTTTACTACATGGTGACAGGAAGCTGGCGCTGAGCTTCAGTTTTATCATCACTCACCTGGTAACATTGCAGACATCTAGAAATTATCTGAAGTGCCTCAGGTTTCAAAGCCGGAATGGCTGAGGGGATCCTTCATGGTATCAAGTTACTGTACTCCACTTCAACACATTTCAGTCTCTCTCTCGTTCAAATTTGGTTAAAGAGCAGACTGTCAGCCTCAGCCAGAGGATGGCTCCACTGTAGCACGGTTTAGATTCTTAGCTATACAGCAGACAAGCAGCCTCTGCTGGTCTGTCCTGGCCACCCAGCAGCTATTTCTTCTGCAGAGACCTTCTGTGTTGCTTTGAGAGAACACTTGTGCCTAGCAAGTGCAAGACGACGGTTGTAGATACTACTGAATACCAAGCCAACTAGAAACTTTCTCCCTAGACTACGGTTCATGACAAGACAAGGGCAACAGCTGAGTGGAACCGATGGATTGATCTTAGTGTGGGCTGAAAATTCAACATGCTAGTGCCTGACTCATACATTCCTGCAAGTGGTTTGGTTTTGGTCTTTGAGGTTCAAGGTTTGTTTGTTTGTTTTTCAAAGATTTTCCTCTAACCTCAAGAATAATCAAGTATTTATTACAATAAATTTCTTTTCAACCAGTCAGTTTCTGTTCTGGCATATTTCTGCATGTTGCCTGCACCCTGCCCTGCCTTTCATGCTTATCCTTCATATGTGAGATTCCTCAAGCAAGGCTTTCATTACTGTACCAGCACACAATCTCTTCCACAGAAGCAGCTTGCTCACAGGCTGTCTCCATGTGCAAGGCATGGTTAAATGTATCTGAACACATGGGTACTCAAGATAAATGAAGCCCCACTGTCTAGTAATAAGGAAACCCCCAAAGCTGATTTTAATGTGTTAAATATCTTGATGGAGAGAGAAGTTTGATGGCTGGTGTAGTCCTCAGGAGTGCAGAGGGAGCTCAGGAGTCGTCTTGATGTAGTGTTTTGTTAAGATGAAAAGAATGAATAATGTCATAGTCCCCTCTATCCTAGTTAAAACAAAGGAGGCTAAAACACAGAATCTTTAATAAAAGGCCTTCAAGTCTCTATAGACATTTGTATTCAGATTACTTTTAAAATTCTTTAGTTACCTACTGTGACTTTTTCCTGTTTCTGTCCTAGAGACACAAATCTGCCCACCTGCCCACCTCCACCACTCAACCTGAACCATCCTAGACTGTGATAAACTCCTTTTCCAACTCAGCTGAAGTTCTAATCATTTGGGAATCCCTTAGGGCTGAACATTCCCAGCCAACATCCCTAGTTCATATGTAGAAGTCCTAACCTCTGCATCTCAAAAGACAATCATATTTGGAGCTGAAGTCTTTACACAACTAATTAAATTAAACTGTGCCTTAGTCCAATAAAACCGATATCGTTAAACAAAGAATTAGAACAGAGACAAACATGGAGGGAAGATTCTATGAAGATATATAAAGAAGACGCTGTCTACAAGCCAAGGGCAGAGACCCCGGGAGACACCTGGCCTGCCAACAACACCTTATCTCCAATTTCCAGTTTCTGTAACTGTGTTGTTTAGGTCACTGGGTCTGTATACTAAATTAAAGCAGGTCAATAAACACAGCCATTAACTTATTTAAGCTTAGAACAAGTAAACCAAATACAGTGTGGCACTTTTCTACACCCAGCACTTGGGAGGCTGACACAGGAGGAGGATGAGTCCAGCCAATGTGGGTTACAAACCTTTGCCACACTGAACAGGCACACCACTACATTGTGTTTATTCACTGTCGTATGCTAGCTGGCTGTGTGTCCCACTAGGATTGCAAGCTCTTTAAGATCTAATACATTACTTCTGACACTCCTCATGATGCTCAATTTGGGATCCTACAGAATAAATATGTGATTATTTTCTACTCTCTACTCAAATTAAGGAGTAAAAATGAAGCTCTTTGATTGCTTTCTCTAAGTAAAGTTGGCCACTTTACTGCCCTGTTTTAGACTACAGTTTGTTTTGTAAATTATTATTTTCTAGAAAAACGCAAACTACAGACTAGCACACAGGCTTCTCTGACTGATGTCAGTTCTCTCTGTACCATACCTGGGTGGCACTCCTTACCATGTAACCCATAAACCTGCATTTCCAGTTTCTGAAACCTAAAAGTAACTTCTACTTCTCCTTTACTTGGCCACCAAGGAACTATAAAGCTTTTGCAATTTGCCAACAGCAATACTATATTCCTCTGCAATAATGCCCTAGTGATTTCAATGCATCAGCTTTTGTATGTGGATACCTCAGAAGATCCCACATGCTCCCCTCAAAAAGTCCTTATTTTCATCTGTGAATTCCTAGCATAAGGCTTGACAGGGGTCTATCATGCAGAGAAAGTTCACTAGACTTGAAGATTTAACTTCTCACCTTTATCTTTTCAGAGCCCTGTAGAACCCAGCACAGGGCATTTTCTAAGTTTTTTTTCTGAGCTTTTGTAGCTACACTAGCAACTGAACTATGACTCCATCTGTATCTCTGCTCAGACTTCCTCAGACTCCAGTCCCTGGCTGCCTTATGAACAGATCCATTTCAGTTACCCCACTTATCCTGCATGGCACTTGTGATCCATATCCTCACACCTGCTTGTCTTCATCCATTGCCTCCTTAGTTTGGGGTGATGCCAGACAGGTCTCCTCAGGCAGAAAGGTATTTTCTTTCCTTTGCCCTCTGGCCAATCTCTGATACCTGTAAATCCAGTCCTCAATCAGCTCTAGTACAGGGAAAACTAAAATGGCTTCTCAAGTTATCACCTTGTCTGGAGACCCCTCTTTTGTTGCTTTTAGTGTTCCCATACCTAATTTCCCCCACTACATAATACTGTCAATTCCTTGTTAGCATCTATTGACAATTTCTATTTCCTCCCTATACTTTCACTAAATAAAAATGCTACATTGTTAAGTGGATAGGCTGAATTAGAGTCACTTTTAAGTAAGTCAAATTTCTTCTTTAACGCCAATATTTAGGGGTAAGGTTAAGGATAATGATTAATTGCCAGACACTGAGGAGTGTTTTCGGTGGAAACGCTAACATGGATTTCTGGCCCTTTTAAACAAGGTGGGAAGTTCATGAAACAAATCCAGGAACTCATGACTCAGGGTCATGCTGATGAACAATCACCGGACTATGCTGTAACACAGATGTCTAAGGACGTAGAGGAGTTTGGAGCTCATGCAACAACACAAAAATTTCAGGCTTCGGAGGGCTGCTCAGTGTCCCTCAACACGGCACCCTGTGTCAGGCAACCTCAAAGGAGTATCTGTCTAAAGCTCCCTACAAAGTGCTGAAGTGTGTGGTTCTCCAGCACCCAGGGTCTCAGGGATGCACAGAGCACGGTTCTTTGATTACAAGGTGCGTTCTCTTCAGAGGGACACTCAAGGTGCTCCTGATAACCAGGCCTGGGAGACGGAAGACCCGGCCAACGAATGGGCTGCAGGAAGGTCTTCTGAACTAAGTCCCTGGGCGAGGAGGGTCTTTCTGGGGAGGGGGAGGGGCGGCAGGGGCTCAGGAGGTGTCCGCGGAGGGGCTGACCGACAGGCTGTCACGCTCCAACCGCGGCAGGTGCGGGGTGCCGCCCGGCTACCCGGTCTCGAGCGCGCGTGCGGCCGGGCCCGGAGTGTGCACCATTGCCTGCAGCGGCGTCTCAACGGTTCTGTGGGGGCGCGCGCCCCGACTGCACTCCTGGCTACCCAGGCCACCCCGGCTAGGGTTAGCAGCTCAGCGGGCCGGAGGCCGAGCATGCGCAGGAGCGAGGGCGAGGCCAAGTGCGGGCATAAAGCATGCGCAGTGTAATGACACACTCGGCTACGTGGGAGTCTGAGCATGCTCCGTGAGGACCGCGGACCCGCGCACGCGTAGAAGGGCCCGGCGCCCGCAACCCACTGGTGGAGGAAAAAAGGAGAGAAATCACCTCAGAGTTACGTCAGGAAAGGCCGCGTTTTGCGGGGAGGCCGTAGCCCCGAACAGGGCCCGACGTCCTCTTAGAGCGTGGGACGTGACGGCTACTCACCGCTCTTCTGCCCCGGGGCAGGCGCCGGGTCCCTCTCCTCTCACACTCGGCTCGCGCAACCCGCAGCCGCCGCTGCCGCTGTGATTCCATCCATCTTGAATTTGACGTCATCCCACACTAGGGATGAGGTCATCGCAGGCAGCGCTCGTCACGTGCGCGGCGCTGGGATTGGGTGCCGGGCGGCGGAGGGCGGGCTGAGGGCGGGCCTGCGGGAGCGCGGACGCGCTGGGTCCCAAGCGTGGGTGCTTCTCCGATGAGGCGCAGCGACGAGCCGTGGAGCTCAGGGACGCCCGGAGGGTAGGTGGCCATGTGGGAAGCCCCTGATTCGGAGCTATCGGAAAGTGGCTCATTTCCATTTCTTCCTCCTGGAAAGAGCTGTAGTGAACAAGTTGAGCTCTCAGGCTTCGCCCCCTTTCAGATCAGCAGTTTCTCTTATTCACTCTGTGGCAACTGCCGTCAATCACAGATTCAAACCTCTCCGTTTTAAAACGGTGTCGAAGCTGGGGGAGGTAATTTATGAAAGTAATCCCAACACAAAGCAGGCTGACAGGCTGAGGCAGAATTCTGTTACAGAGTGAGACCGCTGTCTCATTAAAGACAGAAAGGTAGAGAGAGGGAGAGAGAGAGAGAGAGAGAGAGAGAGAGAGAGAGAGAGAGAGAGAG